TGTGTGTGTGTGTGTGTGTGTGTGTGTGTGTGTGTGTGTGTGTGTGTGCGCTGGGACGAGAGGCAACAGTCCATGCAGTTAAGGAACAGTGTGAGAAGGAAAAAAACAAACAAACAGGGAGCTAACAATCTCAGCTCCTGCGGTGAAGGAAGAAGAAAGAAAAGCAGAACAGAATAATCTGGTCGGACGTTTGAAGCTGTTAAAAAAAAACAAACAGAGGAGAGGAAAGGAAGAATGTTTGTCCTTCCACGGGGCTCCCTCCCCGACAAACAAAATCTAAACTGTGGTATCTGGAAGCGGAGCTAAGCCGAGCTCCGACACGCAGGGGAAGCAGCTTCTCTCTGAACCGCATGAAGCCGAGGAGACCAAGAAATCTTACTCATTAAACATTCCTTTGATTTGTGTTTTTAAGGTCTGCGCAGCTAATTCAAAGCTTTATTTGAATCTTTGGTCTTGGACCGGAAAGCAGAAAAAAAAGAGGAACCTGACTGTTTCGACATCCAGGTGACTTTAAACCCAGTTTAATAAAAATCAAAAGGAACTCATTTAGAAACAGCAGAGTCCTGCGTGGCTGTGGGCGCCTCCCAGTGTGTAGTGAGGAGAAAAAAACAAAAAAACTAACTCAAGTCATTTCTGATGCTGGTACCTTGTTGCTGGGGCAGGTTTTGGCTCGGAGGGCAGCTATAGGTCAGTTGGTTGATGGGGGGTCGGTAGGGCGGCGGCTGCTGCTGGTTGGAGCACTGCGGGTGGTGGGCTGAAGAGCAGTAACACGTGGACATCTGCCATTTAAAAAAAGAGCAAGACACGTCACGTTTTCACTTCACAGGATCAGTCACGGAGCTTCTCGCCACGGAACGACGCGGCCCTACCTGCTGCACGGGCTGCTGGATGTAGGCGGGCTGCGGGAGGAGCGCAGGGAAAGCGGTGGGCCCRGCGCTGGAGCCGGGGTACGCGGGGRTCAGGGCCGGGACGTGCTGACCCTGCAGCACTGCTGGGTGTCCCCCTGATGGTCCTGCCACCATGTAGCCGGTCACCTGCGAAGGAGGAGGAGGAGGGGGAGGGGCTCCCTGCAGCATCAATGGYGAGGGGTGGTGGTGGTACGCAGAGGGGTAGCGGCCGTCCGACACTGAAACTGCGCCTTCATTGGGCGACTGGAGAGTCATGTGACTGAACTGGGTGCTGAGGACTTCAGGCTGGAAAAAAAAAGTACAAGTTACATTTTTTAAAACTGAGGAAAGTAGAAAAAAAAGGGTCTAAACAAGTCCTAAATCTAAGCATCCAGTCCGGGTCACTCTTGACATGTTTGGGGAAAACGTCGTGTTTTTTTTTAGCCGTGGATTATTCAGAGCCAACATCTGCTGATGAATTAAATATTAATGGAACTTTCCACGGGCATAATTAGTCACAGAGGCATGTCTTTTGACTAGAAGCAGGTCAAAAATGAGGTTAAGTGAATGCAGCATCCACATACATCGACTCCTGCTGGATACCGACACACCTAGCCACCCAAAATACACAAACAGGTTTATAAGWAGTGAAGGAAATACTTGAGTTCTGAAAAAAAAAAAAAAAGGAGTGCCTGATGGTCTTTTCCTTCTACAGAAATTTTATTCTTAAAAAAAGAAACAAGAATGAGGACAAGAATGGAGAAACTGGGGCAGCCCAATATATTTAAAAAATGTCAAAATTATGAATTAGGGCCAGATTAGTGGGTAAATTTCAACAGAAGGTGCACCTTAGTTTTTAGGATGAACAGGTTTTTTTAGGCTTCATGGTAAAATTGATCAAATGGTGGCTCATGGCACTGATCAGGGACGGATGAATCAGCAACAGACGGCAGGTATGGTAAGCAGTTCTATTATATAAATACTAACACTCTGAAATATCCTGCGGCAAGTTTTTAGTATATATTTATTCAACATTCCTGATTTTTACAGTCATTTGGGACATGTTACTTGGGTCTGTTGTTTTTAATTTGGGTCAAATTAATTAAATCAACACTTTAGTTTAGAGCTACCTTTCTTGAAATGATCAAACTTTCTGTTTGACACGTGGTCTTGGGGTTACTGTTTATGCTTTAGATTTGTTAAAAGAAGTAAAGTCTAACAACATACATTTGTTTTCTTGTTGTACTGTACAGAACCCTGACCCCTTTACCTGCAGACTTTTTCTAGCATTAATWAATTTTAAGAGGTACAACTTTTCTAACCTTTATGGTAACAAGTATCAAATGGTGGATGGAGCTACTGAGAAGTTATTGCAGGTATGGCAAGAAGTTCCATCGTTAAGCATATAGTGAATGTAGAAGTTGACAAATCCCATTGAAGCTTTTCTAGCCTTCACTTTAAGMGTACAGCATGTCTTTAATAGAACAGCCTGATCTAAATATTTTACAATGAATTAAAGAGCAAATTTATTTTTGAAACATCATTGCACAATCAACATCATGTAGATAAAATCTAGATTACAAAGGACCAGAATAAATCACTCGTTCCTCACAGCTAGATGACAGTGAAGGAGACGCTAAAGCAAACAGAAACCTTAGAGATCACTGTGATCAGAGAACARGAGGGAGGAAAATGTGGATGTTTCTGATACTGTGCAGCCTGAATTTAACCTGAACCAAGTGTGAAAACTAATCATTTCTCCAGCTGCGGAGTTTGAGTTATTCACAGCTTTTATAAGCAATAAGAAAGGAATGAAAGGAACCTGGATAGAGAAAAAAAGTCAGAGTGAAAATGTTTAAAGATGATCTGACTTATTTCCTGTTTTTTTTAACGCAGTGAAGCATAAATCTGATCAACAAACTGAAAAAAAAAAGCCACAAACAGAGAAGAAAAGAAAAGAAAGGAAGTTCTGTACCACAGTGCATTGTTGGTTAGAAGGACAGACAGGCAGGAACTGAGGAGGAGGAAGAGGAGGAAGAGGATAGGAAACCGCTGGGTTGTGAAGAGGCTCGGAGGATGGCTGAAGAGGAGGACAGACCGGCTGAGGAGGAGAAACCAGAAGATGGACAGAGCGTGAGAGCGGGCGGAGTGCACTCGCTCGGTTTCACAGATTCCTGCTGAAAACGGCGTCGGCTCACCTGGGAGTGAAGCTGATTGGCTGCTTGCTGCTGCGACTCCGAGGGCATCGGCTGGGCTTTCCCCTCCTGCYGGATCCTGCCGGCAGCCGGGTCGTAAACTACAGCGCTGCCGTCGGGATGGATGAAAGGTTTACCTGTTGAGAGCCAAGAACGTGAAGCTGGTGAGAAAAAACAAAAAAGAGTCTGGTGCACGTAAGGAAAGGCGATGCTGGCAGATTCTTGATGAACAGTTTGCAGCTTCGAACTTCACAAATGTGTGCCGAGGCCCATGATTCAGACTTACAGAGCTCTCCCATCTGTTCCAGTCATGCATTTTCATCAGGAGAGCAGGAATGTAAAATATCAAACTGACTTTGATCTAATGCAGAAAGTTGGGACTCCACTTCCAGGAGYAATCTAAATAAAACCCATCCAGCGTTTGTAACCGCCGCTGCATGGGTTTTAATGAAACCTTCAGAAAGTAATCACGGGGCGCACGTCTATGTCCATTCAACATGGCCGCCACTGTTGGCAGGACCACCCACCTGTGTGTGGACTGATCAGAACGCTGCCAGGTGGGATCCCTGAGGCCTCTAGCGGCAACATGTAGAAGTTAGCGGTGTTTGACGCTGGCAGCTGCGGGGGGACYCTCCTGGTGGCTTCGGGGTGTCCTCTGGCGCTGGAGGCGTGACGGACGGAGGGCGTGCTGGGCTGCAGGGGGGCCGAGGCCGGGAGAGGCAGGTGAGGGCGGGAGAGCGAGCTGGACGAGGAGCCCACGCTGCTGCACGATTCTGAACCTTAACAACCAAACAAACAAGGAGAAAGCCTCATAAAACAACCGAACGCGCTTATTTGAGGAAAAGGAAAACGTCGACAGAAATAACTGCAGGCGGAGCAGAAGCCGAATCAAGAGTCCACCTTTTTGTTCTACGGCCATAAATAAAACAACCCCCCACAAAGCAGAGGATCTAATCTCAGCCAATCAAATCACAAATGGATCATAGTGCAGAGTAAGCACTCACGCTTCGGAATGAATTTGTCTGGTGGCCCTCCCCGCCCGCGCTGCTCAGACTTATACAATATGCAGAAACTCCTCGCCGGTTGCTTTTACTCTGCTGCTGCGACATGTTTTCTCTGAGTCCTCTTCCATTTTGGGGCTGCTACTCCGTAATGACTCCTGACAGGTGTCTGGCTCCACGACACGCAGAGCGAGCTGCAGCAGGACTCTCTGCTCTGGTGAGACCACTGGTGACCAGAGAGCCTGTTTTAAAGGGGACCAAATATGCTAAATTCACTTTTTTCAGTTTTTTTACTTACATTTGGGTCTGTACTGCTTCTAAAAACAGTCCTAGCACCAATCAAATGCACTCAGATTTATTTTTACTATAAGTAAATGTATTTTTCTGTGTCTTGAGATGACCTGTTTTCAAACACCGCTACTTGTGATGTCACAAGTCTCACTCCAGCCCACCCCAACCTGAGCCCAGCTCATCTCCTGGTAAACCAAGCAGAGACTCCGCCCACTTCTTCACAGGACGGTTCTGCTGTTTTAGAACAGTCATGGAGAACAGAGATGTGTGGATTAATTTTATTTTTATTTAACTTTATTTTTATTTTTGATGGCAATGTTTTAGCAATGTTAAAGAAAGTTTGTGTAAATAATTTCACCATGAACTACTTTGGAAAAATCGAACTTTCTACTGAAAAGAAACTGAAAGTAAACTTCTTGCGGGGGGCGGAGCTAACGTAAAAAAGGTTGGGAGGGGGTTTCCATAACAACTTATGCAAAGCAGCAGGTTCTGAAGAGAGCTGAAGAACCAACAGAACTGAAATGGTGACATTTCATTATCTGAGATTTATTTAGTGAATCAAATCAAATGAACATGTTTTGTAGAGCCCACAGATAGATCCTAACTTGTTCTAGGACCCCCAYATTAGGTCTCCTTTAAAGCTGCAACCTGATTTGACTCTTTGGATGAAGATATTAGAGGAGATAAAGCTCAGTTGATTTCTCTCTCAGTCTCTGGGCACTGCCCGGTTTTCGTGGGTCTTGCCTGTTTTGGACAGCCTCCCGGTGCTCTTGCTGCTGGCCGTGCTGTCCCCGCGGACCAGGCCTGGGGAGATGCCGCTGAAGCTGCTGGCCTTGGTGATGGCGGGCCGGGGGGCGAGCCGGTTGGAGCTGTCCGAGCTGTCGGTGCTGCTCCACGGCCGGGGCTCACCGTGCCGGGGCAGGGCTTCTGTCTCCGAGCTGCTCTGGCGGCTGGCGTCAGAATGGCCCGCTCGTAACCTGGATCAAAACAAAACAAAATGAAGGCTTTACTGCGCTGTTCCAGAAATATTTGCTTATGTGGTTTTAGTGAAATACACTGACTTTGTGAAATGAATGTGGCATTAATTTAAAGTATTAAACATAAAAGATGGTCATTTAAAGGTTGGTGAGTGCCAGAAGATCCAAAGACCCGAGAGAGGTTCAAAGATCACATGATGATCCTTTAAGGCAGGATGTTCAAGGACAGATATTTTAAATTCTTTTGTCACGTGATGCCTTTTATAGTGGTTCCTAATAATGCCAGAGAGCACAGGGGGGCCGTAACCTGGTCTGCTCAGAGGTTGTGAAAATATCAGTTTAATGTTTGTGTAATAAAATCACCAACACAAGTTCACTAGAAAAATTAAAACACTGTAGAACTCAGTTCTTTTATTGATTTTTCAAAATAAAATAAGTTTTTAACTATTCACTTGATTATTTCGATAAAAGGTTGAACGTGTCTTAGGGAGAAGTGGGGGCGAGGGATGGGGGGCTTAGCTTGGTTTGGAAGTAAGAAAGGGGAGCTTTGAGGAAAGTAGGTTGGAAACCACTGTTTTATCAGAATTAACATAAGATCCGGTTCAGATACAAACTCTGAACTTCATCTTTTTTACTGATGCTCATTCCTTCTTGCAAGAATAAAAGTGATCCAAATTAAAAAGACAGAATTCCAGAATTAACTGAAAAAAAAAACTTTAACAGAATTCAAACCTACAGGTCATTGAGACATCATCTAAAGTATGTATGAAATGTATGTAAATACATGTAAATGTATGAAATATCAATATTGAAAAGGATTGCAATAAATCAATCCTTCTACAATAGATGTAATACTGATTTAAATGGTCAAATGTGTGTTTTTTAACATGGTTTTCTAATATTAAGCAACCTTTACTTTTATTTATATTCAGACTAAAAAAAAATTCCTTCTCCATTTATGAAGCATAAATAACTTTCAAATCTTCATCTTTAAAGGACTAAACAGAGAGGTTAGAGAGCCGCTACCCCGCAGGCTTTAGAGGTTTCTCTGCTCCAATACACTTGGTTTGAATGACTGTGATTAACAGGTGAATGCAGATGTTGAAGAGCASTGAAACAGGTGTGCTGGAGCAGAGGAACAAGTCAAACCTGCAGGACTGGACACCCCTAGTTTAGACAGTTTTATAACCATTAAAACACAGATGGTTTTGGGTTATTCCCTGATTTAATTGGCCCTCTACTGTCTGAAAAAGCCACCCCACACGACAGAATCCAGTCAGAAAAATCCCATTAAACAGAATCTTTCCGGAGCAGCACAAAAACCCAAAACAACAAATCCTCAGATCAGCACTCTGTTCCCGAGTGAGCCGATTAGGACGATTCAGAGGCCTCTCTCTCTCTCTCTCTCTTTCTCTCGGGAGCTGAGTGATATGTGACGGGGGCGGACCCACCTGAACATTTGCCGCCTCTGTTGAGTGCTCATGCATGAGTGTTCCTCCTGCGRGCTGAAAGGAACAGAAAGGAAGAAGTGTTACAGAACAGGAGCTGACAAAGTGAGAATATTTTCAAACTGCTGCTAATTACTCCTCAGACAGAGGAAAACGTAGAGGGGGAGGGAATGGAGAAGCTTTTATTACTGCTTACCTTTTATCAAATATAAAGTGATCACCCTGCATAAAAAAGAGAGAAAGATTAAAGTCAGTTACATCATTTCAACAGCTTCAGGTTTTCGATATTAAAATGTGACTTCTGGGGCCAAATCAGAGCGTCCCTGTGTTCGCATTCGTAAAGCCGGCGTTAGTAATTGGCAGCAGGAAATCTACTGAATTTGCACATGAATAGACACGACACAAAGATTTGTGAAACATGCCTCCCCCCTCCCTCCTCCTCCTCCACCAGCCCGCCTACATCAACAGCTCTCACATCATGTGCAAAAATCCTTTCTCTGGCTCGCTGGTACTCCTCCTCCCTCTCCTCCATCGATTTGCTCCTCTTGTCAGCTTTCAAACGCATTCGAATCTGGCAAGGACACACACACACACACACACACACGAACACACACACACACACACGAACACACACACACACACA